TTTTTATTTCATCTTTAGGTTATGGGAGAGGATCTCATTCCAGAAAAACTGAAAGAGGATGCTCAGGGAGAAATAAAATGTCTAGGCCCTTCAGCACTGACATCCTTGGTAACTGCCTCAGTCACAGAATTTGAACACAAATGGTTCAGAAAACTCAAAGATAGTTTGTCATTTTGACAGTCAGTTCTGCCTAGACATATACATTCCACCATAAATAATTTAAACACTCCTGTTCTATTTATTTTTTATCATCTTTATCTCAAGTGATGATGGAATAAAGTTAATATTACTTTAAAAATAAAGTTGAGTGTATATCTTTTAAGAACATTGCACTTCTAATCATCAGTTTTCTTGCATACTCACTGGCTTTTTCTTTCTGTGCTTCTACATATTCAATTTAAAATGATCAGGGCAAGTGACATTATCAGCCTTCAAAGGCATATTGCAACACTGAACATCACACTTCTTGATCACACCTCGCCTATGATTTCTTTGGAGTTGTGATATTCTTAGAGTAATCTCTTCACTATATCTAGCCTGATGTTTCTTCAGTATTTGTTTTTATCTTGCTGTTTTAGACCAGTGGAATAAGCTGTTAGATTCTTGTTTTAAAATCTGGTGGATATGTTTTTAAAATTAGTATAAACGTGAACAAAAACTGGTCTGGTAGCACTTTATAGACTAATGAAACATATAGATGGTATCATGAGCTTTCATGGGCACGGCCCACTTCTTCAGATGACCGGAGTTTTAAGAAGTGGGCTGTGCCCATGAAAGCTCATGATACCATCTATATGTTTTGTTAGTCTATTAAGTGCTTCCAGACCAGTTTTTGTTTTTTAAATGTATCCTGTACAGACTAACTCAGCTACCCCCTGAAGCTTAAAATTTGTATTTTTTTATAAGTTGAGATATTTTTACTATTCAAATTCAGATATTTGAGAACCTTAATGTATTTTTAATCAGAATGTTTTCAATACAGAGCAACTTGTTGACTTCCACACAAGTCTTTATATAAGACTAATGGGTTCTCTATGCAAGTGTAAATTCACTATATATCCCCAATTTCACTTGTTCAGAGAGTTCAGAGTAACAGGTCTCTGAGGCTATACATATTGAGGAGAACTGTACTCCTTTCTTTTGTACAGTTTCACAAAATGCAGTGTTAATTCTATAGCAAACCAGTTTTCTGTTCCTTACAGATTTTTGTAGTTGTTGTTAAACCTTTGTTATAATGAATCCAGACATCTGTTCATTGTAAGTTTAAAAGCAGTGAAATTACATGGTTTGACTTGTCCTGTGTTTTGGAAAGGCAGAGAACTAGTTTTTTCTATCAACATAGTTTGCATTCCAAGCAACCGAAGTGTGCTCTTAATTTTTAATTTTTTTTTATTCTTTAGTCATCTTCAAACAAAATTTATTCTGATCTCACTAATTTTTGTTTTGGTATCAGTTAATGAAAATATGCTCGTTCACCATGATTTTTTTTTCTTATTGTGGATTCTCCTTTGAATGTGTTTGCCTTTCTTTTCAGTATACTAAAGTACGCTAAAGTTTTTTAAATGAATTCGCTGAATTGTATCCCCCACCTAAAAATGCACTTCTCTGCTAATTTTAAATGGAGTTCAAAAATTAAGAGTTGTCTGTAATATTCAATAATGTATCATCTGTGCACAGTAAAAGTTAATTATTAGTCTTCTCCAGGAAAAAAAAACCCTTCCGTCATATCAGATTATTTATGGTGATTTGATGACTTAATGCGCTTCAACCACATCCTGATCAACTTGTTACAAAAGCTGGATGTTTGGCATGAATACTTGGATAGACGTTAATAAATATAACAGAATTCCTTTTAATCATGTGTGCGCTTTTAGAACACTTTATTGGGCTCTTAAAGAGAGCACTGAATAAATACATGGCTTACACACAACTATATATGTGCTTAATAGACTGTCAACTTGTACTTTAGGATAGGAAGCTTTATGGAAAGCTAGATGTAATGGTTCTAAAGTGATTATTGCATGGGAGTGCAATCTAACTGATTTTTAATACTGTTAAGCATTTCAATAGCCATTGTTTGAATGCAGGGGTGCTGGTTTGTGGCAGACATAACCAGCTATTTTACTACAACAATTAGTGTTGGAGTGGAGTATCAGAGTGGTGTTTACATGAGCCCTTCTCCTCAAGCATATATAAGTGGCGTGTCAGTGTCTTTCTCTGGTTTTTCTGAAAGTTGGGACACTTCTGCAGCTGCTTGCAATTACTCATGTTTTTGATCGCTGGCCAGTTTAGCCTGTGGGAGCCTGTTTAGGATCTTTGGCTTAATTCACTGTTGAAATTGTGAACTGCTTCAGTACTCCTTTCCATCAAAACATAAATGACATTTATTTGACATTCAAACTCAGCCTTTGTGTAAATTAATGTGAGCTGCACCCATTAATGCCAGAGCTGAATTTGGCACTTAAACTCTATCCCATATTTTATCAGTTTGTCTTCAGTCTACACTTTCTCTAAAGTTTTGGAGAACTCAGTTGCACAAAGTATCCCTCACTACCATACTGGATGAATTTCATATGGTTTATGTAGTCTTTGCACAACATCAAGACTGCCTTACAGGACCTCAGTGTGGGGAGAACATAAAACCTGCTAAAACACCTCAGGCGGAGGCTTTACATTGGGGAGTTGTCAGTTGCTTAGGCCTATAAAATACTAGGATCAGTAAAATATTTCATGACTGATGATTTGTATGACTGGCATTGGGGCTTGGGAGTAGCAGATGCTTTTCAGATTGCCTGTGGAAGTGAAAATCCTAGAGCTGGTGCTCTTATTGTTATGCTTTTATATTACAGGCTGCCTTGCTTTAGCGAGTGGGCACTGTTGGTGGATATTCTTGAGACATGGATTGGGGATTTCCAACACAACATTAAATTGGCTTGACACTATGCCAGTGAATGAAGCTGTCTTTCTGGTGTTTGGCTTTAACAATTTCACTAAGGCACAGTACATTTCAAGTCATAATGTCATCTCACTACAATTGGGCACAAACAGATGACTGACTAGGAGGTAAATCATCTACTTACTAGTGAAACTCTGCTCTACAAAATATTTTTAAAGGGCCAAAACTGGAGCCCCCTCATTTAATGTCCTGGCTAGTTAGCAACACTCTTTATCACAGTGCTCTCATTTTTAAAAAATGGTATTTTATAGAATGTAACCATAAATATTTGCTGACAAGTTGCAAGTTTGTGTGATATTCTGGTTCTGTGCACATCGTTAACAAACTACTCTCCTGGTGGGCTGTGTGAAGCCTTTGATTCTGCATTCCCCAGGCTATGATTCCACAGTAACAAAGAAAATTGTTTATCAGTTTGGTTACCAGGAAGAACTCCCAAATCATGCTCCATCTCCTCAGAAAATCTGTAAATTACAGGTTTTCCAAAGGGTGAAGCAAATTCCAAAGTAGAAGGATCTCTGTTGTGTACCCCCTATCGCTAGTATCCTGCTGTCTCAGCAGATCTCTACTCCACCAAAAAAACATATGCTGGACCTGTGCCAATAAAAGATTAGCTTATAAACTTTACACTTTGAGTTGGAAATGGAACTAAATGGCAAGCCACTGCAGGCCTTAGAGCCTACGCTCAGTGTGTCAGCTTGCTGGGCTAAGGATTGTGTTCTAATACGTTTATGCAATACCTAGCCACGACTGAGTCTGTTAGATAATATAAATACCAGAACACGAGTGCAGTAAGCTCTCTCTGAAACATGGCTAAGTATACAAGCAGCTGCATTTACACTAGTTGATTACAAAACTGACAATACCGATATATTTTATTGGTTCCTTTGGCACATCTCTCTTCAAATTATGAGCAGGACACATTTGCACCTTGTATAGGCCAGTAAGCAAGATGGGCTTAATAGATTTCAGTGAAAATAAAATCTAATTTTTCATTGTTTTGATTATGAATAGTATAGAAACAAGTTATGGTACTGGAAAAGATGGTACAAGGCACAAGAGGAAAGGAATAATAAAAAGATTGTTCACAAAGGAAGTTTTAATGGAGGCGTCTAAAATCCGTTTGACAAAGAGAATAGGTTATGGTTGTCCTGATGGCTGTTTGCAGATGATAGCACAAGATGCCAATGAAAATCAAATAAAAACAATGCCATAAAATCTTTTTGCTATACACAGAGAATTGCAATTGTAGTCAGTGGCTTAGTCACACAGTTCTGTAAGGTGTGTGATGGGCAAGACTTTGCATTCAGACTTCTTGTACTGTACATCATATTCCAGTCTGAATCTGCAAATGTTTTGAAGGTAAATTTGTTTTCTAGAAATGGGAAGTCTCTCCTAAACCGGAGGCTTCAGTTTCCAATTATATAAATAACTGACATGACTGAATAGGTGGTGCAGGATTAATGGGACTAGAAGGTTTTTCATGTATAACTTGCTTGACTACATTAAGCTGTAAAGGATAGTACCTGAAAGCTGTTACCATCTGCTGGCTTCTGGTGGCCTGCGTAACATGAGCAAGTAATCTCAATCATATTCATAGCTGGCAGGTCTATTCACAGAAAGCACAGCAACAGCTGGCTGCCGTGTTACAAGTCTCAGCAGAGATGTCAGAAATTGAATGGAGATAGAGGCTGTGCCATCCTCTGCTCCCCAGTGACCCTTCCAAGTCAGGACTGAGACACGTTGGTGGGGAATGAAAGAGCTGCTGCCAGGATCCTGTCTAGTGAGTAAATGGAAGACTTTAAGAGGACATAAAAACCATCATTATAAACTCTTACCCACTTTCATGTAATTGGCAATGCTAACCAACTGGCCACATTGATCCATGAATACATTATGCAAGGACAGATGAATGTGACAACTTAAACAATGCTGCTCCTGTTCCTAAATGGTATCCGCATACCTGCAAGATTTCAGTGCTAGCAGACTTAGATTTTGTTAATTTGAGAAACATTTGGCAGTGGTTGTCCATTGTGACTAAAATATATAATCATACCTAAAGTGTGAAACCAAGAGAGAATGTTGTCTTGAAAGCCTTCTGTTTTTGAACAATACATAATTTCTATGCTGAGTGTTCATCATTGAACAGGTTATTGTTAAAACGGATCTTCAACACATTTTTTTGCAATACAAAAATAAGATGGTTATGTAATCAGGTTAGTGAAGGCATCTCCACACAGGATTTAACCTTGATCTGTTTACATCATCTTGTCTAAGATGCATAGGTTTGTATATGTTAACATTATTATAAAGGACTGCTGGGGTGTCAGTAACATATTGCCACGAATAGTAGTGGGTCTGGATCATGTTCTGTGTTTGGGTTGGCATGAATGAGGGGTAGCCATGGAAAGAATTTCCCCTATGCAGTGGTGACTGTGGTGTCGGATTGCTGCTGTATACAAGAGTTCTGGGGGGTTGTTTGGTTTGATATGTGCTATTGGCTGACAAGCTGCTGAATGGATCTGAAGGAGTATTGGCACTTTTCTGGTTGCTGCTGCTACTGAGGCTGCCTTGCGTGGTGGTGCTCTTGTTTAGCAAGAAGGGCACTGTACGTGTTGGCGATCTCAGTCCCATCACTGGCTTGGACAAAGCATAGAGGTGTCGGAACTCTTCGTCAAAGAGCTCTACAACTTGGCCAGTAAACTTGGAGAGGAAGTTCCGGTGAACCTGGCCACACAACCATGTGAAGCTGGAGGAAAAGAGAACTAAAGTCAGTATTAACCTTGTCCATCAGTCATTGAAGAGCAATGCAAAGATGATGCCAATGGCTTGTCTATTACATTGTTGAAACCTATAGTCATAACACAAGACTGGTTTTCCAGCTGAGATGCAAGTAACTTAATGTCAGTTCTCTAACTAATATGATAAACATTGTTATTATAATGGCCTCTGAAGCCTTCAAGACAGTGTTCTTAAACTTTTTGGCTGCGTCTAGACTTGTAAGTTTTTCCGCAAAAGCAATTGCTTTTGCAGAAAAACTTGCCAGCTGTCTACACTGGCCGCTAGAATTTCTGCAAGAACACTGACGATCTCATGTAAGATTGTCGGTGTTCTTGTGGAAATGCTATGTTGCTCCTGTTTGGGCAAAATCCCTCTTGCACAAATGCTTTTGCGCAAGAGGGCCAGTGTAAACAACACGGTATTGTTTTGCGCAAAAAAGCCCCGATTGCGAAAATGGCGATCGGGGCTTTCTTGCGCAAAACCACATCTAGATTGGCACGGACGCTTTTCCACAAAAAGTGCTTTTGTGGAAAAGCATCCGTGCCAATCTAGATGCTCCTTTCCGCAAATGCTTTTAATGGAAAAACTTTTCCGTTAAAAGCATTTGCGGAAAATCATGCCAGTCTAGATGTAGCCTTTAAGACCGAGGAACACCAAACAATAATTTTATTTATGAGGAACATCAAAGATTTTTTTGTTGAAAAGAGAGAGAGAGAAAAAAGGGTGGGGAGGAAGGGAGTTATTGACACCCCTCCCAAAAAAAAGGGTCAGGGGGAAAGTGTGCCGTAGAACACCATTTAAGAAACACTGCTTCGAGAACCTTGTCAAGTTGACAAATCCTCTAAGAGAATAGTGTGAACCAAGTTGATTATGTCTCTCTCTATATATAAAAAATGTTCCTGTGGGTCAACAGAGTGACATCATCATGTCACTCTGCATCTGCAGGAGCCAAGCCCCACCCACTCCCTGCTTGGCCCTCCTCATGGCCCACGTGGGGAGCTGGCGACCAGGGGGAGAGCTATAGCTGCCATGGCTATGGCCTTGGCCCAGCCCCACAGTAGCTATGGGAGAGCTAGGGCTGGTGTGGCCTCGGCCTGACCCCCGGTGGCTGGGGGGGGAGAAACAAGGCTGGTGTGCTGTAGCCTGGCACTGCCCAGCGGCCAAGGGGAGAGCCTGGGGGGAGAGCTGGGGCTGGCGTGCCCCAGCCTTGCCCTGCCCGGCATCAGGGGTTGGGGGCATGGAGAGAGCCAGGACTGGGGCAGCCTCATCTCTGGGCCCTCCCTGGTACCGAGGGTGGGGGGGAAGAGCCAGAGCTTGCCAAGAGGAGGCAGAGCTGGGGCCGGCCGGGATGGGGGAGGGGGCAAAGAGCTGGGACTGGCCAGGGAGTGAAGAGCTGGGGCTGGGCTTTCCCTGGTAGTGAGGGTGGAGAGGGGAAGGACCAAGTGGGGAGGGGGAAGAGCCAGGGGCCCTTTTCAGCAGTTGGGGTGTGTGGAGAACTGGAGCTACCACACTGTGGCCTCAGCCTGGCCCTCCCCAGTGGCTTGTGGGGGAGAGTCTGAAGCACCTGGCATTGGTGATTGTTGGCAGACAGGATACTGGGCTAGAAAGACCTTTGGTCTGACCCAGTATGGCCGTTCTGATTTTCTTATATAGAGATGAAATGTATCTGCCCCCTGGCTGTAACCCACTGGACCCCACTCTTCTTTCAGAGCTCAGAGACAGCCCAGGAGTCCTGAAGGGATCTGTCTCTCCCCCCAGAATTAGTAAGTAATAGCCTTAACATTTTAATGTATATTCTTAACTAGTTAGTAAGTAATAAGAATATACATTAAAATGTTAAGGCTAACTAGCGTCCCTTAAGCGCCTTGCCACAAGATGTCAGAATACATTAGTGTTAGAGCTGAGTGGGTCTAATATTTATTTATTTTTCTTTCTTTGATAATAGAATTAGATACAGTGCTCCTGTCAGCTAACTGAGAAATTGTCTGCCAAAAAAAGCAGAGTTTCCAGTGCCTTAGTTGACCCGAGATGATGAGGAGTAGGGAGTGGAGGGCAGAAGGAATTGGTCCCCTCCACACATTTGGTGCTTGTCTTGTACTGAGCATGGTCAGTAACACTGCTGAAGCTGCTGTCCTCAGTCTACCTCCCATGCTCTCACTCTCTTTCCCCCTATCATTGCATGCAAATCTGAAATGGCGCCCCAGGCTTTATGGAGCTGTGTTTAGTATTTGAACTTTAATGCATGTAACAACTCACAAGTATTTCAAAATCTCATTTATAATATCTGTAGCTATGTTGTAAGTTAATTTAATTTCCTATGACACTAGCAGCCTTTTACAGGCAGGAGAGAAATATTTCCAAGCATGAAATACTATTTTAGAACAAGTGCCCAACCAAAGCAGGCCTAGAGATAACAGATGAAACATTGACAAAAGACTTTGTTAATTGCTTCCTCCATACCTGTGAAGAGGATACATCCACAGTCCCATCTCAGTTTGAACACTAGCAGGAGGGAATAAAAATCCCTGACCAGAAGGCTTTGGATCATCATGCTGCTTGGCACTGAGAGACGGCAGTATTGCTAAGCATAAGTAAAATATCCCCAAGCTGAAGCATGTGTTTTTACAGCAGCTCCTCTTATTTTTTTGAAGCCTAAGACTGAAACTCATGTATAGCATTTACATTTAGCTAACTTAACCTTGTAAATAACTCTCATTTCTTTTCCCTAGTTAACAAACCTTTAGTAAGTTTAATATAGGATCAGCTACAAATGTTGTATTTGGTGAGAGATCTAAGGTACAATTGGCCTGAGGTAAATGACTGGTTCTTAGGGGCTGGGAGTAACCCAAATATTATTGTGATTTTAGGTGTAAGGGGCCATCTATCAAAGGCAAGCTTGCCTGGGTGGCGAGACAGACTGGGGTGCCCAAGGGGACCATCTTCACTCCATGTTAATGTTTAAGTGCCTGAGCAGTTTACATCTGATAGTTTTATTGGTGAAATCTAATTATGGAACACACAACCAATTGGGGGAGGGGAGCTACAGAGAGAGGGAGAGAGAGAAAGTGAGTGTGGGGTGTGTGTGTGAAAGAGGGACACTTTGTGAGAGACAAACTTTGTGATACAGATTGAGTGTGTGTGGCAATGACTGTACGTGGCACAGACTGGGTGTGTGTTCCAGTGACACAGGGAATGTGGGTGTGTTGGCTAAGTTTCTGAGAGAAGCCATGCTCTGTCTCTTTAAGGGAAATCCGTCCTGCTCTGTTGTCTCACCTCTCCTCTGAGTCAGAGTTCAGATTGGAGCAGCTCTGCTGACTGTGTCTCTGTCTACAACCCCTGCTCAGGGGCAGGGGAACACCCTGACTTCAGCACTTTCCTCTCCCTCTCCCCGGTTCTGCACAGCTAGCGAGAGAATCCTGGGAGCAGCTTGGCTGCAGGATGGAGCAAGGTGGGGGAAGGGACAGCCGAACACACACTGCTGGCTGTAAATATGCACCTCTGCTAATTAGCTGGGTGGGCGGGATAGAAATGCTTGGCAGGCTGGATCTGGTCCCCAAACCTGAGTTTGCCCAGTCTTGCTTTAGAGCCATGCTGGGGAAGTTAGCATAGTTCTTGCCTTTGATTAATTTGTTCAGTGCAGACGGAGAGTGTTCACTCTCTCCAGGGCTTTTAACAGCACATTTATGAGCATGGAGAGTGTGCACGTCAGTAAATACCTGACTAAACATTGCTAAAGACTGAGTTCATTGTCTACTAGAGAGAATTAGGAAAGTAGAGTTTATACAACACATAAAAGGCACCAATGACCCAAAGCCAGAGGGAGAGGTGATATACATGTATGGAAATTATCTCCTATGTCAGACTCAAACCCTTCCAATGATCCACAACACAAGGCTGCGCTAACATGCTTTTTTGGTAGCTTTAAGGCCTACGCAAATGAGACATTTAAGAAACATCTGTTGCAAAAGGGTCTCTATTGTCATCATCATCCAGCAAAACAGCTCATTTGGTTTGCTCTTCCCCAGGAGTGTAAGATGCTGGCTAAGACAGAGGATTAACTGGGGAAGGGGGAAGTGAGCGAAAGCAACTTAAGAGTGAACAAAGTAAAAGCTAGCAGCAAGTCTATAAGAAACAACACGTGGCGCCTGTCTCTGGTGAGCTGTATGAATACACAAACCAGTGCAAGGCTTGATTGGGTTAGGCTGTGTATATAAGATTTGATACTCACCATACCCTCACCTGACCTGATGAGTAGGTTATCCAATTTGAGAAGACTCTTGAGGTTAGCAACTGCAATGTTAAATGCCAGGCATGACTGAGTATAAACAGTGGGTGGGTGTGTTAGCATTTTACAGCAAAGAGAAAGTCTTTGCTTGAGATAAGTTCCGCTTTCCTCATTCTCCTGCATTTGCTTTCCTTACACACACATTCAATACACTATAAACTGGCTATTACTTGGGGGCGATTATATGCTAAAAATTCATCTTCAGTCAGAAGATTAAAAGAAAACAAAAGTAGAAAGAACTAGAAAAGAAAGTAGAAAAATAAACTGTCCTTTGCAAAGCAACCAATGTATGTGTGTATCCATGTATCTCTCAGTCTACCTAGAACTGCTGTCCGATTCTATGGACAACAAAGCTCCTACCTCTTGTCTACACACATAGGCTACGTCTAGACTGGCCCCTTCTTCGGAAGAGGCATGCTAATTTCTAACTTTGGAATAGGGAAATCCGCGGGGGATTTAAATAAACATGGCCGCCGCTTTTTTTCCGGCTTGGGGAAAAGCCGGAAAAGAGCGTCCAGACTGGCGTGATCCTCCAGAATAAAGCCCTTTTCCGGAGGATGTTATTCCTACTTGCAAGGCGTAACCAAGGCCTTTGCAACCGAACCGATATCTGTGAAATGTTCTGTGTGCTGTGTAAGTTGGTAAGTATGATTTGATTTTTTTCTTGTTGTATAAGCTTAGTGTTGTAGTTGTTTTTGGGTAGTACATAAGAGTTTGTAGTTATCACTGTTATTTAATTAGTGTAGCTGGATATTTTAAGATTAGAGACTATTCCCCTTGCCATTCCCATCCTTATATCTCTGACACGTTTTACTAGAAATCATAGAATAAATATAATAAATACTGTAAATTCATTATTAACATTGTCTATTAAAAATCTTAGAATAAATACTATAAATTCACCACCGTCATAAATAAATATTTTTTATTTGATAAAACTGTCCACCTGGTTCTGTCCTTCCCCCCTTGGGTATGCATCATCGGACCTGTGATTCTCACGCCAACCTCCCCAAAATCACACCTTTTAAAAATATTATTTGTAATCTTTTTCTTTGCCCTGAGGTTTCTGAGCCTGTAAGATTCACTTAAGTCAAGTTTTCAAGATTTTCTCTGTAGCCATGAGGATAAGAAATTTAGTTTTTTAAACATGAATGCTCAAATTCTCATATAGCCTCCTAATTTCCGCATCTGGGACTTTAATTAAAATCCAAATGTTCTGAGACTTATAATAAAATTGTGAGAATTGGCAACACTGCTTGTTGGAAGGGAAATTAATTAACATGGGTTGTACCACTTTATTTTAGTTAAAAACAATAAAACCACCCTTCCAACTAGAATAGTTATATGGTACATAAACTTTGAAGACAAGCTGTTGCAGGTGTAATTAACAGAAAATAAAGGCTAAACCTAGATTTCCACTTTCCTTTCAACCAGCTAGCTTGTTAGTTAGGGCACGTCTACACTGCTGCATTATTTCAGAATAATTTTGAGATGGAGGACTTCTTATTCTGATTCCTGTAATCCTCATTTCATGAGGAGCAAGGGAAGTTAAGAGTGTTTTTCTTTAGACTTCCTGCTGTGTAGACAGCACTAAAAGCCGAATTAAGCTATTTTGACTTCAGCTACGCAATTGATGTAGCTGAAGTTACGTATCTTAATTTGACTTTTGCCCTGCAGTGTAGACATGCCCTTAAGAGTGAAACTCCAGAGACTGACTTATGCCACATGAAGTGAGCCATAAGGTAATGGAAATGTACAACATATCTTCTGATAGTGATTTGCTGATGACATGAAAAATGGGAGAAGCAAAGCACAGGATTATAAGCAGCTTTCTAGTTCTGATCTCTGTCTGTTCCACAATCTCTTTTGTACCAGCTGTGAGCATTTCAGTTAGATCTCAGACTCCACTAGGATAGGCCATCAGTTCTTCAGCTGTTCAAAATTTTTGAATGTTTGTTTAGGCAGCATAGATTTGGAAATGGCTGTCTTTACAAAAACTTTTTGGTTTCAGCAAAATTTTTCAGTTACTTAAAACTTCCATCTACAAATGTTCAATTTTAAAAAATTAAAATGTTTTATTTATTTGTGGAGGGTGAGAGGGGAATGAATAGCAATTTTAAAAATACTTTGGGTTTGCCATTGTCTAAATTTTGATTGGGTACAGGCTGTGACTACGGTTACCATGTGTCTGGTTTTCAACCGGAATGACCAGTCAAAAAGGGACCCCGGCAGATAAAAAAGTCTGACTGACAGCACAGCAGGGCTAAGGCAGGCTCCCTGCCTGCTCTGAGTCTCTGCAGCTCCCAGAAGAGGCTCGCATGTCCGGCTCCTAGGCAAAGGAGTAGCCATGAGGACGCTGCATGCTACCTCTGCCCAGAGCTGTGGCTCTGCAGTGCCCATTGGCTGAAAAACACCTCCAACCCCCTCATCCCTAGCACCTGCCCCAGAGTCCACACTCCCAGCAGAAGCCCACACCCCACCTTCTGCCCCAGGTTGGGACCCTCCCCACACTCCAAATAGCCCCTCCTGCACCACAATCCCCATGCCCCCGCCCCAGAGCCTGCACCCCCATCCAGAATCCTCACCCCGTCCCATGCCCCGACTCTCTGCCCCTGTCCTGTGAAAGTGAGTGAAGGTGAGAGAGAGTGAATGAAGGAGGGAGGGGGCATGCAGTGAGCACCTGCAAGGTCTCAGAGAAAGGGTGGGGCAGGAGCATTCAGTTTTGTGTGATTAGATATTTGGCAATCTTAGTTGTGACATGCTGCCACTTGACATTTCCCCAACTCCTAAATTGATAGGATATGCATGCAAACACTTGAGATATTCACTCCAGTTGTGTCTTACGCAGGCGTTTCTGTGGTTTGGAAAGTTTTCAGTTTTCAGCAACCACAGAAGATATTTCCACTTTGTAATATGCAAAATAGAAACAAATTGTTTTTTCAAAATGTTTTGTGAGAAAAGGAAAATGGTTGTCCAGTTCTAATTGGCTCCAATTTTCACTAGTAAAGACTGAACCATTAACTAATTAATATTTAGATCAGTTGTACCAAGAAACTTCAAACTTTGCAGCCAATTACCCTTTATATGCCCTTGAAACCATAAAAGTGGTTCTGTGTATAAAATGTTATTTGTATTAGAGTAACGTCTAGCTGTCCCAATTCAGATCAAAGCCCACTGTTCTAGGCATATACCCTGGACAATTTATAATCAAGACAGAGTGTGTGGGAAAACAAGGCATTATTATTACATTTGTATAAGCAAGCTACAGAAAGATTAAGGATGAAAGCACCACTGAAGTCAATGGCAAATCTCAAACAGGAAGTCTAGGGACCGTGCTAAGATCTGGACACAGATTTCCTGAGTCCCAGTGCCATCCTTCCTCTCAGCAGCAGAGCTTTAGCATGCTGCACTGGCAACTACCACGTATAACAGAGGTGGGCAAAATATGGCCGACAGCCTGACTCTGGCCTGCCAAACCACTGGACCTGGCTCACCACCATTCTGCAGACCAGGGCGAGTCTCTGGCAGGCTCCCTGCCTTCTGGGCCCCTGCACGCCACTCAAAGTGTCTGGCTGCAGGGGCTCTGTGCTCTCTATGTGCCACATGCCTGGGGGGGGAGGGGCTTCATACACTGGCCCTGCCCCAAGCATCAGCCAATGAGAGCTGCCAGGGCTGTGCTTGTGGCTCAAGCAGCATTCAGTGGCATGCTAAGAGCATATGGCTCCCACAGCCAGCAACTTTGAGCAAGGTGCAGAGGTGTGGAAAGCAGGAAGCCTGCATGAGGGTCCCACCAGGCAGCTGGCTGGGAGCTACATAGGTAAGTGCCTCCTGGCCAGAGCCTGCCTCTGGCACCCCACTTCCTGCCACCCCTGCTCTGGCACCCATACCTCCTCCAAGACTTCACACCCCCTCCAGACCCCAATTCCCAAGCTCCCTTCTGCACCCAACCTCCATCTCAGACCCTACACCTCCTCTAATAATATTAGGGAAGAGTGCAATCCTTGACCACTTACCAAATTCTTGGCATGCCCCCCCCAAAAAACGAATTGCCTACCTCTGATTTATAGCCATGAACCACTAGCGGCACGCTATCCATGACCACTGGCATGGGAGCATTTTTTTTCTGAGAATTATGCTAGCCAAACTTAACTATGCATTGTAAATAGTCTCTGTAGCACAAATTGATCATTGCACGGTTAGAACATGGTGCTCGGAAAGAAAAAAAAAACCTCAAACACTTTAAGAGGTACCAGTCTTGACCTTCAGTGTGGTTAGCGCCTATGAATCATAACCTAGAGTAACCCTTTACTTGCTGAAATACTTTTATCTGTAACTCAACCATCTTGTGTACATCTCCTGATGCAATGGGGCTCTGATCCCTGAATAGGACCCCCTACATGCAACTTCAATTCAAATAAGAATAGAATTAACCTCGGGTAGAACATGTGCTGACTGATCTCACCTGTATGATCCAGAAAGAACGTATCTCCAATCCGAGATGATGAATTTTTCCTGGATTTGTCCTGAGAATTTCCTGCCTGACTTGGCACAATAAATCTCTCCAGTAACACTGCGGACTGAAATATTCTAGAGAAGCCCAAAACAAACAGTAAACACACATTAAAATTCATCATCCTATTGCAAAGCTTAGCAGAGGAGCAGGCACCCCCCATCGCTTTTAGCCCAACAGTTAGATACACACACACCCAAGCCCAAGTCCGCACTCAGTAGACTGTCCTAACCATTGGCCTATGGGGATATGCTGCCATGGCGCTCCTACTGATCTCACAGCTGTTGATGCTGTTCTACTGTGGATTAACTAATGAAACTTGGGACCAGAGACAGAGCCCAGAAAGCCTGGGAATGATTCTGTAGCCTGGTGGTTAAAGCACTCGCAGAGGAGAGCCAGGATCCAGTCCTCGACTCCAATGACTTTTAACATTATATATTCACAGTGTAACATTCCTCCCCTCACTCCCAGCTGTTTTGCGGAACCTCGCCTATCGCAGCCCAGGCTGCTACGCCAGCTCTCAGCGTGTGCTTACTGGGTCAGGCCCCACAGGTGAGTTAGCTGACAACAAGCCTATCTTTCCAATTCATTCAAGGCTCTGGGGCTTAAGCATCCGGACATCTGGCATAAAGGCACAGGACGCTTCCAATAAACAGCCCAGCAGTAGTTCAACTATCCTAATGAAAATCTTTAATTCATCTCAGTATAGTTAGAAACGTGGGTGCTGTTTATGGGAGAAGGCCCATTTTTTTAATTCGGTTTTCTTTCACAGAGGTTATGTCTAGACTACAGGCTTCTTTTGGAAGAAACTTTTCCGGAAAAGATCTTCCAAAAAAACTTCTTTCAAAAGAGAGCGTACACACTCCAAAGCGCAGTGAATGGACACTATCTCGCATATAAGCTGTGATTACTATGCGTGGGTGGCCACCAGGGCACCTGTGCTTTTTCCTCTTTCCTCTTCTATCCAAAGAACCCCCTCTTCTCCATTCACACACGCGCCTTCTTCCGAAAGAGCGCTTTTGGAAAAAGGCTTCTTCCTTGTAGAATGAGGATTACCAATGTCAGAAAAACCCCTCTGTTCTTTCGATTTTCTTTCGGAAGAACACGATTGCAGTGTGCATGTAACTGAAGTTTTTTCGGAAAAAAGGACGTTTTCCCAAGAAAACTCTGTAGCATAGACATACCCATAGTTGAAGACAAATTAGGCTAGAAGCTAGCTACTTTATACATGGCAGTTCAATTAATGCCCATGACACGGAGCTACAACTGGGAAGGAGTATGAGGCAAATCAAGCTATACATTACAAATGAAAGCTTTAAAGCTGTAAGAGTTTTGTTTAGTCAGTGATACCTTGAAGTGATCCTCTGCAATCTGCACCTTGTCACACATCTCACGGAAGAGCTTTATATTGCTTTGATCAAGCAACAGGTAGACAAAAACATCTCGCTTGTTAGCTGCTTCTAGCACATCACAGAATATCTCAGTATCAGTGAAGACATCCATCATAATGGCCAGAACCTAAGGAGAAAAGGCATTTGTGTAAGCAGAACAAAGATACATGATTTGGGGAATGCCAATAAAATATGTTTATTTTACACATTAAAACGTAAATCAGGGGTAGGGAAGCTTTTTTGGGTTGGGGGCCACTGACCCACAGAAAAAATCAGTTGGGGGCCTCACTCAAATGAGAAGCAAAACAAAACAAAACCAAAACCAAACCCTCACTGACGTGCCCACTGACTGAGAAGAAGAACACAACTCTCCACATTCCCCTCACATACCAGGCCTAGGGTCTCCAGCCTAGTAGATTTTGTGTGCTCCAGCCCCGTGGTGGGACAGCTGGGAGGCTGGAGCACCAGCATAGACTCCCCAATGCTGGGGGGAGCTCTGAACCTCAGGGGTCCAGATTCAGTCCCCAGGCCTGAGGTTCCCCAACCCGGTTTAAATGGTGGGGGAACGGAGGTCCATTTTACATAGATTCTTTTCCTTGTGAGCATGCAGCTCCAAGGGATATCTTGATATTGGTTTATTGCTCACATAAAGCCAATCGAAAATAGAATTTTTTTCTTTATGGTCCCTTTAATAAGAAATCTCAGGGTGGCCCAGGAATTTGTAGGCTGGACTTCAATATTGGGAAAAAGAATTAAACAGGAAACAATGGGAAAATAGCTAAAACTGGATTGTTTCCTACAAAATACACTTTGGGCTTAGCTAATTTTCTGAAAAATCAAAGGTACGTAGTATGAATTCATAGAAAGAAGCTTCTTCCATGTGACCCCTCAAGTGTGGAGCAATCCTCATTAAGGCACAGTCCTACAACTGCCTGCATGTGGGTGGACTAGAGTTAGGACCAACATTTAGTTTTCACTTAAAAAATGAGTTTCATAAAATGTAATATTAATAGATTTTTTCAATTTTAAAGTAAATTTATTTTGAGATTAAACATCCCCCTGCACTGCTTACACCCAAAAAACTGGGCTAGTGCACAAGAGCCTCAATTTGCAACTGTCTA